GTCTGCTTGTTGAGAGCTCGGTAGTCGATGCACATGCGTAAGCTTCCGTCAGGTTTTGGCGTGAAGAGCACTGGTGCACCGTATGGTGATGTCGATGGTCGAATGAGTCCCTTGTCCAGGAGGTACTCAATTTGCTTCTTCATGTCAGCCAATTCGGTAGGACTGAGTCGATATGGTGCTCGGAAGGTCGGTTTTGAACCAGGTTCTTCGACGATCTCGTGCTGGTGGGTTCGGTATGGCGGCAACTGGTCTGGAAGGTCGTCAGGAAGAACGTCTTTGAACTCCTCCAACAGTTTCTCGATAGGAGGTGGAAGCTCAGGTGCTTTCTTCTCTGCTTCATCCTCGTCTGTAACCAGTGCGACGAACCCTGCCATGGTTCTTTTCACGTCCTTCTCGAAGCGTGCGAGAGTCTCCTCCGGAATATCTCCCGTGTTGCTCCAACTCGGAAGTGGAACTCTTCTGTCTTGATTGTAGATGCTCGCCGTGCGGGTGACCCAGTTGATCTCGGGGTTGAACTTCTTGAGAAAGTCTCTCCCAAGAATCAAGTCTAGCCCTTTGATGTTGGTGACAGGTAGGGTCGGTTTCCAGCGAAGAGGACCCATCTGCAGGAGTAATGCTACTTCGCCGTAGATTTGTAATTTTCTTCCGTCAACCATCGTAGCTGTAAAGCTTGAAGGCGTGCACTCCTCATTAATGCGTTCGAGGGTTGCTTTGTCACATACTGAATGGGATGCTCCGCTGTCCACGAGTGCTTGGAGGCGTCGTCCATTGCAGATCACCTCGAGCAGAAGTGGTTGGCGTTGCTCGCTGTACCCGTTGATCGTCTCGTTGATTGGATCGTAGGGCACATCCCATAGCTCCGTGGTATCGTCTTGGGTGGCGGGTGGCCGATCTTGCCTTTCCCTGTTGCCATGATTTTTTGTTTTCGTCGTCGACGTTATTTTCGAGCTCGTAGTAGAATTCCTTCGTATGCTAGACGTTGCAAATGTTTCAGATGCATCTGTAGAGGAGGTTTGAGGTCGTCGCAGCTTCATGTTGACCTCCAGCTCCCTCTTGAGCTGCTTCAGCGCCACCGACTTCTTCCGTGGGGACCGGTTGGTCGACGTGGGCTGGTTGTTCTGAGAGAGGACGATGTCGTCGTTGGAAGGTCGATATTCCACGCTCTGTTGTTGGTTCCCCATGCGCAGCTGCTGCAGTTGTCGTACCGGTACATTATATTTCTTATGGAACCTCTCTCCATTTTTCACCGAGGCCGTAGACCCAGGGGAGTTTTTCCCAAGTAAAGCATCCTTGTATGATATTTCTAAGGAGTGCTTACTTTTTACAGGGCCTTTTTGGAGTTGTCCGGGTCCAGCAGGGTCTTGTTTCGCGGAGATTTTATTTTTCTCGGCGTTTTTCCCTGGTAGAGTCCGTTCGTGGGTTGAAGAATTCACTCCACGATCCTCAAAATTTTCCACTAAATCTGCTCCACTGCTGCGGTCCCAAAGCGCGGCACGTGCGGTTTTCATTTTGTTACAATCGATGAATCGATGTCCCGGCTTGCCGCAGAAAGAACACTTAGCTTTGTTTCTTCTTTGGTCTTGCCTTTGCGTCGATTCGATCGAGTTCCATCGGGTCGGCGTACGTGGGGGTAGCCAAGCGTCCTCCATGTCGTCTAGCTCGTCCATGAAGTCGTCGTGTTCCGATCGTGATTACGTCGAAACGTTCTGCTGCCGAGACAACGTCGTTGTAGCTGCTCCAATTTGCGGCCGCAACGTGTTGTCGTATTTCTTTTTTCAGCCCCGCGATGAATGCTCTAATTTTTTCGCCTTCCGTGACGTCGGGGATGCGGTTGAACAACTCTTCCATTTGTTGCGTGTAGTTCGCGACGCTCCCGATTTGTCGATGACGATGTATTTTGTCGCGGGCGATAAATTCTGCATTTATCGGCTCGAAACGTTGTAGTAATCCCTCTCGGAACTGCTGCCACGTCGCTTCGCCTTGGTTTAATAATCCGCTTCCGCTTATCCAATCAATTACTGGTCCGCGCAGAAGTGTTGCTGCAAATTTAATTCGCGAACCGTCGTATGTCGGGGATGTCCAACCGACGGCTACGAAATATATTTCGATTTCCGCCAACCACCTCCGTACGTCGATCTCCCCGTCGAAGGTGTTGGGGGCTCGAATTTTTTTGGCCTTGAGAAAATTTCGCGACTGCTGCGAAGTCACGATCGATTCTGTTTCTGTCGCAATTTTCGCCATGACGCGCGAATTCATCTGAAGTCGTTAGATCCGTCGATACAGGTCTTGCTGTTTGTACACCGCTCGATACAGGACCCGACGATTCGCGATTGTCGTCGCTATATCGCCAACTCGTCGCCAGGAAACTGAATTTTCGGACCTGTTCCCAAAACGCGCGAGGTGGGTCATTCAAAAAACGCGGATTCTGGTGCTTACCAGCGTCGGCGCCGAATTCTTCGCCCCCGGCGGTTTTTCGAAGCAGGATTTCTGCTGTCGCGCGCTTAGCTGAAACTCCGCGAGTGAAAACGGCTCTGAATACCAAGTGTCACAGGATCGAATTTCCACTCGAGAATGTTGCACTAAAGGTGAGTACAAGGCGTATTTATACTTAGAAATACATAGAAACAAGCGCTAATTCGAACCTTCGGGAACGCGCTCTCATAGGATAGATAATCACTAGTGCGCATAAGCACGCAAGCCCATTGGCACATTGGATTATGGCGAGATTACGCCTTGTACACCACTGACGTTGCTGTCGGTGCCGTATAATGTAATTGTCGGTGCCGAAAATACAAAATAAGTGAAATAATCGGAAAGCTCTAGAAAATAGAATAGTAGTCCGATTGAGGTGAAATAAAGTGCAAATGAAAGAGGAAAATAAGGAGAATAAGATAGAGTAAAAATATGGAAATGAGAAATATGTCGAACGTCGACGTACTCTTACAAGTACTCTCGGTACGAGCACGTTCAGAACCAGCACTCCCAGTGCCTCCACGACCACGAGCTCCAGAAGCTCCAGCAGCAACACCTCGAGCAATCGTACCTCCAGCAGCAGAACCTCCAACTCCAGCAGCAGAAAGAGGGAGACCCGGAGAAACACCAACAGACTCAGCACCCCCGGATCTAGTACCCTCTGGCTCAGCACCTCCAGGCTCCGCACCCCCAGGCTCAGCACCCCCAGGCTCCGCACCCGCAGGCTCAGCACCCGCAGGCTCAGCACCCCCAGGCTCCGCACCCGCAGGCTCAGCACCCCCAGGCTCCGCAACCCCCAGCACCTCACGCACAAGCTCAGCACCCCCAGACGTAGCACCTCGAGTAACACCACCCCCAGCAGCACCAGAGTCAATTGCAACCGACTGCAGAGGCTGTGAAGTCGGTCGAGGTGGAAAACCCAGAGGGGTCGCCAAGCGGGGTGAGCGGCGGGGGGGCACCGTGTCGTCAGCAGCAATGTCATCCCCCTCAGCTGGGCCAGAGGTGTCAGAAGTAACCTCGACAGACTCAGCCAAGGGGAGCGGGTCTACCTGAGACACACCTGAGGGAGCAGGACCCTGAGGGGGAAGGGGGTCTACCGGAGGGGGACCTGGAGCGAGGAAAAGCGGCGGGGGAGGCAGTGGAAGGAGAGACCTGGGAAGACCAGACACAAGGAGGCGACGGTGCATGCCACGTAGACGTGGCAAGGAGGGGTGACCCAGACGGTGGTGCCAGAGAAGAGTCTGGTGCGACAGGGAGCGACACTCACAAGGGGAGGCTACCAGACCTGACGCAGACACCTGACCGACAGCAGCGACCTGAGGAGACACAGTCGTCAGTGTGTAAAGACTCGACCCTGGCCGACGAGTGAACGTGGCCAGGTGACGGCCAGTCCATTCACATGTGCAGATCGCCACACGCTGCCAAGCAGGGGTGAAGGTATTAACCCCCACATCCTGAAGGGCAGCGTTGCTCACCAAGTTCGTCGAGAACGAGGGGAGGTGGAGACCTGACAGTGAGCCAGACGGGACTGCCGGACACGGAAGCACAGTGGTGGACCGTGCAAGAACTGGGCCCCCTGAGGGGTCAGCCAGAGAGACTGCGACAGGCGCAGGGAGCGGTGTGAGTACGGTACTGTCACGGAAGAAACAGTGAGAAGCACCTGAGTCAAGCGTGAAAGTGTGCAAGGCCTCAGGAGGCAAAGTACCGGAGAGAGCAGACTCGCCTGCACCTATGGCAGCAGCCTCTATACCTGAGTCAGGTGTGAAGGTGTGCAGGGCCTCAACAGGCGCAGTACCTGAGAGAGTAGACTCGCTCGCACCTAAGGCAGCAGCCTCTATACCTGGGTCAGGCGGCATACACAGGTAACAGACACCATTAGCACTAACTTCCAATGCATACATAGCAGAGATAATAGCATCAAAGTCAAGAGCAAAAACATCTACACCATCCTTCTACAGCTCATGCCAGCGAGGGCGTCCGTACTCATCGCCCATCTCCTCACGCCAGGCGTTGTGAAGGCGGGAGAAGCAGCGGTACTGGGTGTGAAACTTGTTGCACGTCTGACCCTTGCGGTCACCTGTGCGAATGACATAAGGGCAGCGACCACCACCCCCCCCAGACTTCCCACGCTGAGCAAGCCACTCACGAAGCTGCTGGGACGTCAGGGGACGCCGCTGCTGCTGCTGGCTCTGGTTAGCGCCAGTGCCTCCACCCCGACCACCACCGCCGCCGCCACCACTACCCCGGCCGCCACTGCCGCCGCCACCGCCACCGCCCCCTCTGCCACTGCCTCCACCGCTGCTACCGACGCTACCACTCCCGCCACCAACCCCTCCTCCATCTCCTCCTCCTCCACCTCCTCCACCACCACCCCCCCCGGTGCCACTTGCGCTAACCTTGGCTCCCTTGCCCCTGCTGTTGCGGCGCCTCTCACTCGAAGCAGAGGCAGCACCAGTAGACTCAGCTCCAAGGAAGTCAACAACAGCAGCAGTAGCGAAGGAGGGGGCGAGGGGAGAGGGAGAGCACCCCTAGAAGATGGGGGTGCGAGGAGCGCCGCGAGCAGCACCTACAGCTACAATGCTCTTCTCTGCTGCAAAGAGGCGCTCCTCTAGGAGGTCTACAGTGAGGCCGGTGGGACTGCGAGCGAGAAAATAGTCTCTAACCGAGCTCAGAGAGTCAGGGAGGCGGGTAACGATGAAGTGGAAGGTCCAGTACTTCGGAGGACGGTTCGTAGCACAGAACTCTGTGGGGAGGGCGGCGCGAAGGCGAGTGTCGCTAGTACGAAGGTGGGTGATGAGATCGGCGACCGTGGTAAAGGAGGAGAGCTCAGGAAACAGGTAGGGCAGCATGAGGCGGCTAAGCTCAGCTGTGGCAGGAGAGGTGTATCGAGCAACTACAGCGTCGTTCAGGGCCTTAGCGGTTTCATGCTCGCCAAAGTGCGTGAGCTCGGCTAACGCCAGGTGGTTGCGAATGGCTAGGCGAGCAGCTGCGTCACGAGTCTGCCACTGGGAACGGGCACTAAGCTCAGCGGTGGCAGCAGGAGCAACTGAGGCGCCAGTGGCGTGGTCATAGAGAGAGACATTGTCCTTGCTATCGCTCATTAGGAACAGCTGCAGGTCATCGAGCCAGGCGTTAAACTGAATCGGGCAGCCCTCAGCATCGAACGAAAGAACACGGAGGGTGGCCATGGCTGTCGGTGCGAGACTAGCAGGGCAGAGCAATGGCAGGCAAGAAGCAGCAGCAGGGGCGGCACGCTAGAGCGCAACAGGCGGCCGAGGCAGAGGCAGGCAGCGCACGGGCGTAGCAGGCAGCTGCGGTAGCAGGGCGGGAGGCGTAGCAGGCTGCCGCAGCAGAGGCAGGCGGCGCGCAAGGCTACAAGTGGCCGGCAGGGCAGCAGGGCAGACCGCGCACAGGGCGTAGCTGGCGGCTGCAGGAAGAGGGCGGAGAGGCGGCGCGCAAGGCTACAAACACCCGGCAGAGCAGCAGGCAGCCGCGGCAGCAGGGCGGGTGGCTCACAGGGCGTAGTAGGCAGCCGCGGCAGCGCGAAAGCTGCTAGCATGCGGCGTGCGGGCTGGCAGGAGCCGCGCGTAGGCTGCGCATGCAGCTGGCGGGTCGCGCGGGCTGCTGGCGGGCTACGCGCGGGACAGCAGAGGCGACGCGCGGGCTGCGCAGGCTACTAGCGGGCTGCGCGCGGGCCCGCAGAGGCGATGCGCGGGTCGCGCGCGCAGTGAGCGGGCAGCGCGCGGGCCAGCAGAGGCGACGCGCGGGTCTTGCGGGCTGCGCGCGGGCAAAAACAGGGCGTGCGCGGAGGTGCGCGACGTAGGGCAGGGTAGGCAGGCCGCATGGTAACGCTGTAACAGTAGGGTGTGTTGAGAATGCTAGGCAGGAATGAATGAACTAGGTCAGAGTTTGGTACAAGTATGAAACCCTAATGGGGTTGTACCCCATATTGGCTACCCCACTACAGCCTACACAAATATAACATATATAATTTGACACACCCCCATAGGCAAAGTGGGGGAGAACAAGGGGTCACAAGACCAGTCAAGAGAAGCAAAGCAAGCTCAGGGTGGATCACAACGTCACCACACACTCTGAGCACAAGCAAAGGGCCACAAGACCAGTTCACATGCAGAGGTATATATGCAACAACAACAGAACAGTGATCACTACCTAGCAAGAGCAAGCATGCAGGTATATATGTATATATAGATCATAGTACAGACAAGTCTACAGCAAGTGCGGAAACGTAGGCACAAGGCCTAACAAAGTACAAAAGCGCTGATGATCACCAGACGGAAGTGCCTTGGTGAAGATATCAGCAGTGTTGGCCCGAGTGGCCACGTGACGAAGACGAAGCTGACCTCGCTGCTGCAACTCTCGAGCCAGGAAGTAACGCAGAGCGATGTGCTTCGTTCTGTGCTCCAGTCTGTGCTCCTGACACAAGGCAATGGCAGCCTTGTTGTCGACGTACAGAACTGGAGGAGAACGAGGCCTCTCTCCCAAGTCGGTCAGCAGGTAGGTGAGCCAGCGTAACTCCTGTGCAGCCATGGCTGTGGCGTAGATCTCAGCCTCACAACTGGAGCTGAGAACAGAAGACGAACGGGTAGACCGCCAAGAAACAGAGCCAGAGCCAAGGCTGAAGGTATAACCCTGTGACGACCGCTGCGTAGCCTGGTCGTCGACCCAAGACGCGTCAGAGAGTCCACTGAGGACAACGTTGCTACGTCCTCCAAGCACGAGCCCCATGCCCGATGTACTGCACAAGTAGCGCAGTACCCTTAGCGAGCCAAAAGGCCAAGAGGGTACGCAAGGTCAGGACGAGTGCAGGTCATCAGATACATGAGGCAGCCCACTAGCTCAGCGTAAGGACCACTCGGCTCTACGGACTCGTCCGAAGGTGGAGCTGAGAGCGAGTGACCTGTAGCCAGCGGAGTGGACTGTGCGGAGGACCAGGTGAAGCCGAAGCGCTGGAGGAGTTGTTGCACCATGTGTGACTGAGTCAGTGTGATGGTGCGGCGTGCTCTGTCCCAGGTGATCTGCAAGCCAAGGTAGCTGCGCAGCTCACCCAGGTCAGTGCACGTGTGTCTCTTCTGCAGTTCCGACTTCACCTGAGCGAGAGCCTCAGTGTCAGCAGTGGCGAAGACCAAGTCGTCGACGTACACAAGGATGTAGAACGGCGGCAGCGAAGTGTCGGTGCGCAGAAACAACGACGGGTCAGCAGTCGAAGGAGCGAACCCAAGAGCCGCAAGTGTAGTCCTCAGTGTGTCGTGCCACTCACGAGGCGCCTGGCGGAGACCGTAGACTGGCCGCCGGAGGCTCCACTGGGTACCAGGAGAGAACGACCCAGTGAAGCCAGGTGGGCGGCGCAGCCAGATCTCCTCGTGCAGGCTGCCCTGTAAGAAGGCTGTGCTGAAGTCAAGAGAGTGAAGCTCGTAATCACGCTGAGCGGCAACGTGCAGCAGCACCCGAAGAGTGGTCATCTTTGGGGTAGGGGAGAAGGTCTGGAAGAAGTCAACTCCCTCACGCTGACTGAAACACGACGCTCAGCAAGACTACCGGGTTGCTCAGTGTAAGGAGGAGGAGCAGGGAGCGGTGAGCCAGGCAGTAACGGAAGACCAGTAGACGACGGAAGGGTAAGAACCTGACGAAGAACAGAGTCAGGCGGCGGCAGAGACGACGGAGACGGCGGAAGGGTAAGAACCTGACAAGAACAGTCGAGTCGGCGCAGCTGCACCAGCACCAGCAGCTCCAGCAGCTCCAGTGCCTCCAGCACCTCCAGCACCCCCAGCAGCTCCTGAACCTCCAGCGCCAGCACCACCAGCAGCAGCACCCCCAGAACCAGCACCTCCTGCCCTAGGGTCTCCAGCCTCAGTGTCTCCAGCAGCAGCACCCCCAGAACCGACACCTCCAGTCCTAGGGTCTCCAGCCTCAGTGTCTCCAGCAGCAGCACCCCCAGACGCAGCACCTCCAGCCCCAGCAGCTCCAGTACCTCGAGTACGAGCACCTCCGGGACCAGCGACTCCAGCACCTCCTGTAGACACAGCACCACTCCCAGCTCCAGCGACGACAGCAGAAACACCTCCAGCGGTAGAGCCCCGAGCTCCAGCAGCGCGACCCTGACGGCTAGTGTACCACTCGTGCAGCTGCTGCGGGGAGAGAGGCGCACGCGGACGAAGGCGGCTACTCCAAGGAGACCGCGCACCAGCAGTCTCAGTACCCGCAGGCGCCGCACCCCCAGACTCAGCACTCTCAGGCTCAGCACCCCCGGACGCAGCACCCCCAGGCACAGCACCTCCAGTCTCCTCACGCACAGGCTCAGCACCTCCAGGCTCAGCACCTCCAGCAGGCAAAGAACCAGCACCACTCCCAGCTCCAGTGACGTCAGCAGAAGTACCTCCAGCAGTAGAGCCCCGAGCCTCACCAGCGCGACCCTGATGGCCACCGTACCACTCGTGCAGCTGCTGTGAGGTGAGAGGCGTACGCGGACGAAGGCGGCCACTCCAAGGAGACCGCGCACCAGCAGTCGCAGTACCCTCAGGCGCCGCACCCCCAGGCTCCTCACGCTCAGGCTCAGTACCTCCAGGCTCAGCACCCTCAGGCCCCTCACACGCAGGCTCAGCACCCTCAGACTCGGCACCCCCAGGCTCAGCACCTCCAGGCTCCTCACGCTCAGGCACAGCACCCCCAGACTCCGCACCCCCAGGCTCAGCACCCCCAGGCTCCTCTCGCTCAGGCTCCGTACCCCCAGGCTCAGCACCCCCAGAGACAGCACCCCGAGCAGGACCACCCCCAGCAGGACCTGAGTCACCAGAGGCACAGGAGGATCTACCTGAGAAACACCTGAAGGAGCAGGACCTGGCACGGGGAGGGGGTCTACCTGGGAAGGACCTGGAGCGAGAAAGAGCGGCGGGGGGGGGGCGAGGGGCAGTGCGGTAGGGAAAGAGACGGTAAAAGGGGACGGACTCGTCAAAGGTGACGTCCTGAGAGGCAAAGGCACGGTGCGAGGTTGGGTCGTAAAACTGCCAGCCAGGGGCGTCAGGAGGAAAACCAAGGAAGACGCAGGGAATGGCGCGGGCAGAGAGCTTGTCCGCGGTGAGATCTCGGACAAAGGCACGAGCACCCCAGACCCGGAAACGCGACGCATCGCCAACCTCCCCCGTCCACAGCAGTGTGGGCGAGGTCTCCGACAAGGAGACACGGGGCCAGAGGTTGAGCTGATGCGCGGCGTACCGGACCGCAAACGGCCACAGAAAATGGGGAGCCGCCGCATGGATCATGGAGGTACGAGCGACCTCCATGACTAAGCCAATGCGGCGCTCAGCAACCCCATTCTGCTGCGGAGAGGCCGGAAGCGTGAACGACTGGGTGATGCCGTGCTCCTCACAGAAGGCTCGCAAGAGGTCGGAGGTGAACTCACCACCTCTGTCAGAGTGCAGACGCAAGACAGGAAAGTCCCGCTCAAACCGCTCACGGAGGAGTGAGGAGTGAGGAGGAGTGAGGAGCGGCGCGCTGCCGCCCCTCGACGCAAGGAATGCAGGGCGGCGCAGGCGAGGGAGGGAGGGAGGGCAGAGACCTGGGAAGACCAGAGACCAGGGAGCGAGAGTGCATGCCACGAAGGCGAGGCAGGGAGGGGTGACCAAGGTGGTGGTGCCACAGGAGAGTGTCGTGCGACAGGCGACGACACTCACACTGGGTAGCTACCTGAGCAGACGCGTACAGCTGAGGAGACAAAGTGGCGTGACGCGACACAGTGGTGAGGGTGTACAGACTGGACCAAGGCGCCCACATGTGAATGTGGCCAGGTGGCGGCCGGTCCGAGAGCACGTGCAGTGTGTCACCCGCTGTCCTCCAGGAGTAAAGGTGTCAACCCAGTGATCCTGAAGGACGGCGGTGCTCACCAAGTTCGTAGAGAACGAGGGGAGGTGGAGACCAGACAGCTCACCAGACGGGACCGCTGAGGGACAAGGAAGCACAGTGATAGACCGTGCAAGCACAGGGCCCCCAGAGGGGTCAGCCAGTGAGACAGGGACAGGTGCAGGGAGGGGTGTGACTGTGGTACTGTCGCGAAAGAAACAGCGGAAAGCACCTGAGTCAAGCGTGAAGGTGTGCACGACCGCAGCAGGCACAGTACCTGAGAGAGCAGACTCACTAGCACCTAGAGCAGCAGCCGCTATACCAGGGTCAG